TGTAAGACCCCCTGGGGCTCTTTTTTGGAAAATTTTTTTTTTTTTTTTTTTTTTTTGTCTTTTTCTCGTGTCCGGCAACGGATCGCAACCCTCAGTGTCGTGCCCGTACCGGACCGGGACCGGCAACGGGATCGCAGCCCTTGGCGTTGCGCCCGCACCTCGCTCAGCCAGTGAGCGGGAACCGGTCTGTATGTGGGATCCGAACCCTCGGCGGGAGCGCCGCCACGCTCCCAAGCGGCGCACTGTAGCAAGCAGTGCGCCACCGGGCCGGCCCTATTTTGGAAAATTCTAAATTGGGAGCTTGGGAGACTTTAGGGGTCTATGCTATTGAGCTAGGTGACCTTTAGCAAGTCAATCATATTCTCTGTACACAAACACACCCAGCTGTCCCTGCTCATAAAAGGGCACACGAAGCCCTGGGCTCAGAGATTGTGAAGACAGATGAGTGGGAGGGATCCAACTCAGAGAGACATGAATAGAATCTGCTCTGATGATATTACAGAATCCTGGGCACAGCTGCTGTGGCCATGAGCACCGAGCACTGGGGACTCAGCTACTGCACTGGTCACAGGCTGGGCCTGTTACCCCGCCCTTGGAAGACTTTGGCAGCCCCTCCCCATACCCTGCCCCTTGGGAGACATCATGGAAAAGGACTTATCATTTTTATGGATTTGGTTGCTACACCTCAGGGTACCATGGTGATGAGCACCATAGAGATGAGAAGAACTGACTTTTACTGGCTTTTCTCTTTATTCTAGGGTCCCTCCCCCAATCCCCTATAACCACAAAGCCCCCAGGTCAGCAGACCCAGGAGAGAAGGTGGCAGGGATCCTGGTAAATAGACCCAATGAAATGAAAGAAGAACCTACTCTCTCTTCCTTCCCTCTCACTCATCTCCCTCTCTCCCTTCTTCCTTCCTCCCTCCCATTACCAACAGCAATTGTATTCAAACCCAATAATTACAGTAACAGCAATAATAGTCATTTATTGGGGTTGTTTTCTAGCATTTTAACTTCCAAAAGCATTTTCCAATCTCTTTTGTTTTCACATCAGTGCCTGGGGGGAGGATTGTGCCCATTTTACAGCTGGGGAGGCTGAGATCCAGATAGGACCCCAAGTCGTGGGCAGAGTAGATTTATGGCAGCCTTTATTAACAAACCATTTCAGACTCCAGTAGTCCTTCAGAAGCAGTGAACCTTAAATCTTGGATTTCTAAGTCATTCCTGGTTTCCTGCTGTCCACAGAACTTATTCAATGGCTTTTTGGGGGATCCTGGTAATGCGGAGAATGAGGCTTCTTCTGGCCCAGGTTGTGAGCTGAGGGCTGAGATGGGGGCTTTCCTTCTCAGAATTGTTCCTGTGGATGGGGCTATAGGATGAAAGGTGGGGCAAACGTGGGGAGAGCTTGCCCTGGGAAAGGCCTGTCTGGCCCAAACCTCCCTTCCTATATCCCACCCTTCTGCCAGCCTGAGAAAGGGTTCCTTTACGTGTCAGCTCTTCCCAAGGGTGGGGTCCTCCCCTGAGCATTTGGAGGAGTGATGAATCTAGATCTATTGGGAACGCAATCTCTGTCCTCAGGAATACTCCAGTCTCCCATTCTAAGCGGGGAGCCGTAGCCCCCAGATCACACCCAAAGGCAGAGAAACCCTTTTGAGGAGCTCAGAGGCTATCCCAGGGCCTGATTTTTCAGGAAGCCTGTCCCCTCCTCCATAAGTGTTCACTGAGGGGATGAGAAGTTGGTGCTCCCTGAAGTCCCTATAACATTCAGTATCCAAGCAGAATGGCTCTCTGGGCTCCAATTCCCCTTTTCCCCAAGACACAGGGATCTAGAGGCCTACGACTCCCACTGGGGTCTAGTTGGGTGAGAGAAAGGGAGAGCAAGTCCCCTGCCTTCCTTCATTCTGTCCCATCAAGAGACGTGGAAGGCCTAGGGAGAGGGAACTGGACAGACTTGCTCCTAGATTCTATCTAGAAATGTAATGCCAAGGAGAGGGATTGGCTCCCTGCAGCCCACCCTGTTAGGATGAGGCCAAGCCTCCTCATCTTCCCCTGTCCCCAATGAAAACCTCAAGTCAGGTCATACGTGGCATGCTGCCCACCTCTATGGATGCTCTCTGAAGCTTGCGGGCAGGGGCCAAGGTCTATGCCATCTCACACACACTCTCCATTTCAGTGTCCCTAGAACTGGACTGGGATTCCTTTTTCTGGGGCTCCACTCCAACCACTTTCTCCACCTCTTCGGTGCCAGTGAGGATGGCCAGTCTCTGGGCCAGGGTCTTTGCATCAGGAAACAGGATAAAGTTGTAGATCAGCGAAGCCAGGACAGCCCCTGTCAGGGGTCCCACCCAGAAGATCTGAGGAGACAGGAGTAGGCACCCCACACATGAGCTATCAGGATCATGGGGTGGATCTGGGATCCCCGCCTGCTTCCCTAGTACTGACTTGGTCTCCCAGGTACTCCTGTCTACAAGACCTGTCTACAAGGTGGTAAATTTGAGAACCACGAGTCCTGCCTCCCAAGCGCACGAGGTGAGAAGACCTTGCCTTGCATGGAGCCGGGAGCCAGTCTCCTCACCCACTCCTGCCTCTTGCCTCTCGCCTCCCTCATTTTAGCCGTTAAGTCCTGGCTGTCACTGTTTCTGTCTCTGCTAGTGTGTGTGTCTATTTTTGTTTGTCTTTTTCTTTATCCAAGTTTGAAAATTGGTCCAGCTGGAGAAAATGAATAAGGAAATAGCCAGGACTTAAAGCCAGAACCAAGACTGCAGCTCCTGCCCTGGCCTGTTTCTTGCTAGTCCACTGGGTATCCCAGCTACTGAAGCTGGGAAGAAAGGAAATACAAGCCAGGATATTCACCCTGGCCTTCTGAGCTTAGGGAAACCTCCACTTGGGGTCAAAACAGTCAGGGGGAGCTTGTCTCCCCATCTCCATGGACCCACTGCTGGTGAAAGCAGGGTCCATATTGCTCCTACTCAGGGCCTTTCCCTTCCCCATGGCTGCCAGCAGAGGGTCTCACCCAGTGGACTGTGAAGTTCCCAACGATGACGGCAGGACCGAAGGAGCGGGCTGGGTTCATGGAGCAGCCAGTGAAGTAAATCTGGGGAGCAAGTGCGGGGTCAGTTTGTGAGGAGGCTTAAGGCAGGCCTGGGAGAGGACAGTCCCCTGAACCCTGGCCCCAGCCTTGGCTTCCATGGTACCATATCCTGAGCCTGGAGTGCAAGAGCACCACCTCAACACGAGGGGCTCAGCGAGGGACAGTTCCTGTCCTTCAGGGCCTTGCAGCTTCCCCAGTTAGGGACTCAGTGTGTGCACATACTTGGTGTCTCCTTTGCCTCTTACCCCAATGAGGTGGCCCAGTGCCACAGAGATCCCAATCATGGCGGCCGGGGATCCTAATGTCTGACGGCTGTCGGTGGAAGCAAAGACACAGAGCACCAGCTGCAGGGTCAGGACCAGCTCCACTGCCACCGCCTGGCCAGTTGAAACACTGTTCCGGACCTGGGCAGAGGGCGTTATGCTGGAGCAGATGCAGGGTGTGCCCTGGGCCTGGTCTCCTCTGCTGTAAGGGGGTGGCACCATGTCACCGCCCAGCTCTGACTTAAGATCTGTGCAGTGGGGTTCATGTCAGCCCTGGACACTTGCTCCCTGCAGAAGTGAGTGGCACCCCTCCCACCCCACTGATTGGTTGGGGCCAGGAAGAGGCGGTAGGAGCTCAGGATTGGTGGGGAGAAGCTGGGGATGCATGTTTGAAAGAAGATGGGGAGGAGACTGGTAGTAGGAGTGGAAGGAGGAGATTTGGAGAAGTAGGTGGGACATGGATGATTGGAATGGGGTGCTGGAAGAGGCAGGCCTCAGGGTGCTGGGGATGGAGGAACTTGGGGAAAATGGAGGAGCAGAAGACATGGGGTGAAGCCTGGGGAGGAAAATGAAGACTTGCAGGGTCCCCTTCCTCTGCCCACAGCCCAGTCCTCTCTTGGCTATACATACTCTTAAATGCCTTGTCTTCTCTGACTCTTTCCCTGTTGTGTGACTTCTCCCTCCTCCATCTGTTCCTCACACCACAATCCCATTCCTATCTGGCCTAGACTAAGGCCGAAGTCTGATTCCTCTGGGTCCCAAGGCCTAGCTGGAGAAAGTGAGGAGCCTGTAGCTGAATTATTTCCTGCGTGGTTGCCTCTCCTCAGGTCTGGCCCTCCACCCATACCATCTGTTTGGACTCCCTCCTCCTGGTCCTGCCACATGCCCCTCCCTGCACCTACCACGTTGATGGCAATGGTCTCTCGGATGTCTCCTGGTGTGACCCCGTAAAGCAGAGCAGCCCCCACAATAGCTCCCACCAGCTGGGCAGCCACATAGGCCACAGCACGGGGCAGAGAGATGTGGGAGCCCACAAGGAAGGCCAGTGTCACAGCAGGGTTGACATGGGCCCCACTGGCCTTCCAGGTGACCTGCACAGCCATGGCTGTGGCCATGTTGAAGGTGATGGCAATCTGCAGTACAGAGGGAAGTGCTGAGGACCAGCTCATAGCTGAGCCCACGCCAAAGAACACATACAGCCCTGTGGCCAGGAACTCAGCAAACAGTGCCCTGCTGATGGCTGTCCAAAGCCTGCGTGCTAACATATTAGCCCAGCTGTGCCTCTCTGGCTCCACTGCATCCATGTCTTGATGCTTTGGGCCTTGGCTGTCACCTCTTTTGCTCCTGGGTCCTCTCCTCTGTTCCTGTTGTCTCTGATCTCCTCTGTCTCCTCTTGTCTCTTATCTCTGGCTGACTCTGGCTGTCTCACTCTGTGGAGGCTTCTCTAGCCCCCACCTGTAGCTCCTCCACCACGCTGCTGTCCCAAGGAATGTGCTGGTCAGATTGGCAGGGAGTGGGTAGATAGGGTTATATGTCTGGTTGGGTAGGAGGTGCAGGGGTGGTAGGAGGAGTGGTGATCAAGGCAGGGGCCAGGGGGGCGGTCCCTGGTTGCTGAGCTGGAACCTCCCAGAAGGTTTTCCACAACTGGACAGGCCTAACTCGCAGTGCAGCCTGAGGGTCACAGGTGCAGGGGCAGCAGTGGTCATGGGATGCCAGAGTGCTTATGTCCCTGATGTCAGCTTAGAGCAAGATCACTCAGATTTCCCAAGCCTAAGGCCTACTTCAGGGGTTCCCAGTGGCTACTATTCTGGCCCCCTCTGCCTCCAAATGGGCTGATGGTATTCTGTACCCTATATACCCAGATATAAAATTAAGCTCTCTCCTCCTTTCCCACCTAAAACCCTACTCACAGAATGCAGATATGAAGAAAGTCCACTTCACTAAGGATGTGGGCCTGCGGAGGTGTGGGGTTTATTCCATGAATCAGGCTGCGTCAGGTCACACAGTTCGCGGCACCTCTGCGGGAATTTCCACTGGCCTCTCACTCACTTTTCCACCTCTCTGCCTGCCCTCAGCTCCATTCTCAGCCCCTCCCTCTCTGCTCTCCTCTGTCCTCTCATTTCTCACACAGGACAGCTTAGCCAGTTTTGTGGCCATGCTGGCCCTAGGGTCACCCATGCCCTAGGCTCTTCCCCCTTCACCCCAGCTGCATATCAAGGTATTTTCTGAAACAAAAGTGTTCCCTCCCTGAGAAGAATCTGCCAAGCTGTTAAAATAATGCAGTCTTCTCTTAACCACATCTGGGTACATGACCTTGCCCCTGGCCATGTCTACCTGGCCCTGGATGTCCTCTGGTTGTCCTTAGGCTCCTCAAATGCAACCTGCCTCAAAATAAGTTCCTCATCTCTGTCTGTGCTCCCTAAACACACTCCTCTTGTTTTCTCCAGCTTAGTTGGTGGCACCTGGAAAGCATCCTTGACCCTTTTCTCCCTCCTTTGCCTTATCCAGTAAAAGCATCAAATCCTGCTGATTAGGAATCCTGTTTCTTGACTGCCCTCTTCTTGTCACCCCTGCAGCCTTTAACCAGTCTCTGTCTGCTCCTTTGCTCTGCTCCAATCAGTTCTTCACACTGCAGCCCAGGTGATCTTTCTCAAATGCAAATCTGATCATGCTGCTGCCCTGCTAAAATCCGTTCAAAGCCTCCCACCCCTCTGGAAGCTCCGTGTCTAGCTTACAAGGTCCTCTGGGGGCTGCTCCTCCTACCTCACCCCTCCCCACTCTTTGTCCATCCTTTACCCTCTGGCCTCGCCAAGTGAACACCCATGCTGATCTCTCCTTGGAAGGGGCTCTCTCATCTTGGACAGCCCTTGATGCTGCATCTGCTTTGATAACTCCTAACCCATCCCTAAGGCTCAGCTCTGATGTCACTTGCTCCTTTCCTGGGTGAGAACCCTTCTGTGAGCTCCCACCACACCTGGGCATTTTCATACACTATAGTTACCATAGGGTGTAGTCATGGTGTTAATGTGTCTTCCGAATGAGGCGGTGAGCTCTTAGAGGGCAGGAACCAAGTCTTGTTCATCTCTACATGTAGTGTCTTGCACAGAGATTAGCCATAATAAGTGCTCAATAAATATCTGTTGAATGAATGAAAACTTCTGGACCTCCTGGAGGCAGATGACCTTCATTTCAGCCTGCTATTCTCATGGCCTTATACTTGTCCTCACCTGGGTCTGAGCCCTCTGATAACTTCAAATGAAACACCCATCTCTGGACCACAGGCTCTGTCCATGCGCCCTCCCCTGTGTCAGTCCCAGTAAAATCCCTCACCCATCCTCTTCTGTTCTTCCTGACTTCACCCTGCCTTCTCAGGGGACCCTTGGCATCTCACCTTGATCACACTCTTGCCAGTGCCCTGCTGTCCTGGCTTCCTGTCCTCTCCTCCCACCTTGCCACATCTCTCCATCATTCTCCTCCACATCTGCGCTGCCAAGCACTGCTGGAGAAACTCAGAGTGCAGACTGCTGCCATGACAAGTCCATGGTCTCCAGACTTAGCAGGGGTCCTGCCAAGCTACCAGACAAGACTTCTCAGCCTTCCTCCCCAGCCACAAACTCACCTGCAGCTGCCGCATGCCCACACCAGCTGCCCTATGACTTGAAGAAGATGTGGCCCTTCTCCTGTGTCCAAGGCAGGGGGGAGGGGCGGGGATCCTTGTGCCCTTGGCTTCCTTTTAGTGACTGGGGCCCTTTCTTGGCCATTCCCAGTCTTGTGTGTAGCTTTTGCTCTTCCCTTCCTCCTGGCTTCTTCCCTATAAACGTGCCTGGGCAACCACAGGGGCAGAGGAAGAGCATGGCTTGGAGTCGAGGTTCCAGTCACTCGCCCACTACACTAGAACCCCTTTCCCACCCCCTGCTACTGCAACTACTCTGGCAAAGGCCACCGCAACCTCCTCTTCTGCCCTCCTGTCCTTTGGCCCACTGCGGCACATGCACTACTGATCCCCTCCTCCTCAAAGCATCTCCTTTCCTGGCTTATGAGGCACGGCCATTTCCTGACTCTCCTCCTGCCTCTCTGAGGGCATCTCCTCGGCCTCCATTGCTGACTCCTCTTCTGCTCACCCGTAAAGCCAGGCCTGTCTGCTCCTGGCCCACTGCTCTCTCACTCCTGACTGTGCCTGGGCAGCTTCCATCGTCTCCAGCCCAAACCTCTCCCCTGAACTCCAGAACCACAGAGCCTCCCCATGGGATCCTCCGGCCTGTCTCTCTTTGTCCCTCTCCCACTGAATGGCTCTGCCATTCACTCAGTTGCCCAGGCCAGAACTTGGAAATCATCCAGCTTCTTCCCCTTCTCTTAGCCCATACCCAACAGGTGCCCAGATTCCTGGCGGCTCTTCCTCATATACGACACCTCTTCCAATCCTCATTTGGTACTACTGGCCCAGTTCAGCCCTTATCATCTCTCCCAAGATTACTGCATTAACCTCCTTCCTGGGCTGTCGGACTACACTACACCTGTGCCCCTCCACACTACTCTCCTCTCCATTGCCAGAGAGATCCTTCCAAAATGCAAAGCTGATCACACCACTCCTCTGCTCAGAAATCTTCAATGGCTCCCCATTGCCTCAGGATCAAGTCTGGATATCTATGTCTAACATGCAAGGAAGTCTCCCTCCCACTGCCCACCCTGCCCCCTTTACTCCAGCCAGGAAGAACATTTACGGTTCCCTAAAATGAGCTTCTGAGCCATCTGCATGCTGGGTCTGGAATGCCTTTCCTCCTTGTCTCTCTTTTGTGACTTTGCTTGAGTGCAATTCCTCTACAAAGCCCTGATTTCCCTCCCCAGCAGAATCAGGGCAAGGTTCATAGAGAAGTCGAGTTTGAGCAAAGCCAGGGACTGGTTGTGGCCTCTGCCTCCTCAGTGCCTCCACTGCTCAGGCTTGCGTCCCAGCCTGGCATAGAGGAGTCATTCAATAAATGCTCAAGGAGCGACGGAGTGTGGTTGTAGAAGCAGCATGGACACCGTTCCTCTCTGGCATGGCGGGTTCCCTTCCTGGGGGCTGTCTCAGGGTACCTTGAGAGTGCCTCTCTCCTTCCCTCCCTTCAGACAGGGCCAGTAGAAGGCTTGGTGGACAGATACCAATACCTCCATGTGACCTAAACTCAGTTTCTGCACCTGTAAAACAGGCACCAAACAGCAGTAATACCTATTGTAATAACTGTTGAGAGCTTTGGATAAGACAATTGAAAGCATTTTATTTTGAACATTGCCATGTTTAATGCACCCCTGACCAGTTGCTTAACTTCTGTGACCTCAGTATCCCCATTTTTAAATGGGGATAATTCCCACCTCCCGGTGTGTTGTTAGGAGTAGATGTGCTGATACCTGTGAGAGTGCCTCTTGAATCAGAAAATGTTGGTTATTAAGATTGCAACTCCCTTCCCCTCTCCAGTGAGACAGCTGTGAGGACTGGGCTAGAGTGAGAAGGGTCCTGGTTGCTGTGGCAACTCTAGGACAAGCAGCACCTGGAGACCGAGAATGTTTAGTGCAGTGGTAGTCCTTGTCCCAAGGCCAGCCTGGAGCAGAGCCTCCTTGGGACCTGCCTGGTCTGGGACAAAGGGCTTCACACCCTGAGGTCAGGTGAGTATTGACCAGGGCTAACTTCTGCCCTGGCTTTGCCTGCCCCAGCCAGCACCTTCCCGGATCCAGCCAGTCTTGGGCTCTAGTGCCAAGCTTTGAGCTCACTCATGCTTACAGAGGAACACACACCTGGCTGTCTATGGCTGCCTGTTTATGTGAGCTCTGACTGAGGTCCTCTCAAGGCTTGGGGAAGGTAGGGGAAACAAGAGGGAAGGAGGAAAGTACCGGGAAAGAAGAGGAGGGAGAATAAAAACATGACAGAAAGGGAAAGGATGCAGGTGGCTTTCTGTGCCTCATTTCACTGATCCCCCACAAAACATGATCTATGTCCTCATCCACACTTGACAGAGGAGGAAACAGGCTGAGAAGAGCTGAGAGACCTGATCCTCCCAGCAATCCCTCCTCCTGCCCATCCATTTAAAGAGCTAACCCTTGGACCATTCCCCACCTTAACCCCTAGTCCTCTTCCCATCTCTCTATCATATCACCATGTCCACCTTCCACCTGGTGAAAACCAGCAGCCCCTGGGGAGAGGAGGAGGAGGGAAAGAAGGGGAGGAAGCCTCCTACAGGAGAATCAAGGCTCTTCCTGGGTTCCGTCTTCAGGTGGAGCAGAGGGTCCTGAGCATATATGTGCTTGGATAAGATCATGCACATGTGTGCCTCTCTCAGAACACGTGGAGCCAGACTTGAGGTCTGGGCCCAGAGTAGCCATGTGAGAGTGATGGGAGAAGGTTGATGTGGCTCTGCATGCTTGGAGTGAGTGCATGCATGCTGAGGGAAGGGGATACACACACTGAGAAGACACAGCCACTTGGGTACAACTGAAGATCAGTGTGTGTCTCTGAGCCCAAGAGATGTGTGGGATTAGTGTGTATATGCTCATGTGTACATGTCTTCATGAGCCCACAGACGGGGAAGATCAGAAGGAGCACATCGCCCCCTGCTGGCCAAACAGCCCCAGTCACTGCAACGCGTCGGTCCAAGGCCCTAGTTGAACTTATCATTCGATGGCCCCACAGATGTCACCTGCAGGAAGCTCGGCACATCGCCCCCTGCTGGCCAAACAGCCCCAGTCACTGCAACGCGTCAGTCCAAGGCCCTAGTTGAACTTATCATTCGATGGCCCCACAGATGTCACCTGCAGGAAGCTCAAGACCTGCAACTCCCTCTGACTGGGTGCCCCACCCCACCAAGGGTCTGTTCCCCATGGGTCCACCGTTCACCCTGCCATGCTCTCCCTTGGGGCCGTCAGAGAAACATAAGTTGCTGGGCTGGAGGAAGAGGCCAGCTTACCAGTAATCACTGTGCCTATAACTGAGCCTTTTGGAGATTAAGGGGGGAAAGGCTCCACTGTCTTCTGCACCCACTCCTGGATAGTGGGGTGGAGGTGGGCTGGGGGCAGGCTGCTTCCTGGTGGCCCCAGGGAACCCAATCCTGAGACTCCCTGTGTCTTGTGCCCCTACCCCATTCCCCCCCATACCCAGGACTTGTGGAAGAGGAAGCACAGCCTCTGTGGATTCTGTGGACGAGGTCTCCCCCTGCTGGCCAGAGGTGGCACTTGCAGCCTGGCTCCCCCCCAGTTGGGGCAGGTTGGAGGAGGTGGGAAGGTGACGGGAAAGATAGGTGGCAGGGGCTGCTCCTTTACTGGGGCCTAGACATTCTCACACACATTCTGCCAATTGGTGGTAGTTGTAAGCCTATAAGGCGGGCAGAGCAAGGCAGGAGCAGTTGCAAATCCCATTTATAGATGATTAGACTCAAGTTTGGAGGAGGGCTGGGGAGACTGCCCCCCTCACCCACAGCCCTGGGGCCGACCCTCACCAGTAAGGGTCTGTAGCTTCTCCCATTCCTGCTCGGTTCATTTCCTGGCATTGCTGGGTCCTCCTCTTCTTAGGCACAAGTAAAGACCAAGGGGAGAGGTTCCAATAGGAGAGAAGCAGGAGCTCATGTTCAAACACTCATCAGAGCAGAGACATGTGGCTGAGGTCCCAGATGAAACCTGTCTGTGGGCTGGTTTCTTTCCACACTACTTTACTGAGCACTCACTCAGGCGACTGGCCCTGTTTGCACCAGTGTTTTACTTCCATCCATTGTCTCCTTTTCTCCCAGCAACAACGCATGAGGTAGGTAAAAGTATCCCTATTTTACAGATGAGGTTATTAAAGCTCAGAGAGCTTATGTTACCCAAAGTTGCACAGTGAGATTTGAACTTGGGTTACCCTACTTCCAGCCAGACTCGTTACTGGGATGCGGGGTTGTGTCCTAAGCTGCTTGTTCGCATGGCTTCTACCCTTTTCCTCACAGAGAGCCAGCCAGTTCCAAGCATCTCACTCCCTCACCTCATCTCATCCCCATAACTACCCTGTGAGGAAAGAATTTTATTGAGAGATTTTGAGGAGGTTCCCTAAGGAGTGTCAGTGGCAAGAGCACAAGGGCAGAGCTACAGGCCCAGAGCAGAGGATGGTGAAGACACTGAAGGGCAGAGGCAGGAGAGAGGAGACCTGGAAAAGCGCTGGGCTGGTGTGGCTTCTGTGGGGTCAGGGCGAGGGTGGGGCGGGAGTGGCTTCCTCTGAGCACAGGCTCCCAACATGGCACCTTTTTGAAACATCAAGGTACAGAGAAAGGAGCCCAGGGCTGTGTCTCCTCCTGATGACAGAAGCTGGCTGGTCACTCCTTTGGCATCTCAAGGGGCTGTAGTGGGTTCACTTCTCCTCCACCCTGCCTGGCACACCCTGGCACTGGGGCCAGCCAGGTCCTACTCAAGTGCAGGGACTTGACATAGCTGAGGCAGGAGGGGCAAGCAGGGGGAGGGGCGGTGGCGGGCATATGACCCTTCCTTCTCTGCTCCCCCTGCCCCTATTTCTTTCTTTCTTTTTTTTTTTTTTTGACCGGTAAGGGGATCTTAACCCTTGACTTGGTGTTGTCAGCACCACGCTCTCCCTAGTGAGCCACCGGCTCTCTAGCCCTATTTCTATATTTGGTTTTCTTTCTCTCTCCCGCCCAAACTCCTTCCCCATCTGTCTGATTTTCTAGGCCTCCCCTGGTCTCAGCTTCCCCTTTTTTCCACAGAGGACTTGTACCTAGTGGAGACTGTAGGGGAGGGGTGGGATAATGAAGAGGAGAGGTGAGGGGCCAGACTGTCCCAAGGAGAGGCTTCTAGGAGGAGAGATGGAGGCAGACCATGAATATCAGTGTTTTATTAGGAAACCCCTAGCCCAAACACCAGCAGCCCCACCCCAGGCATCCTTGACCAGAAATAAATAAGGTGGCATTCGATGAACCTGCCTGTTTCCCTTCTGACGATCTCAGGGAAGGGTCTGCCTCTGCCCACCTAGGGGCTAGGATCCCTCTGGCTCTGGAGCAGGGGCTGGGGAGGGTGGGTAATGCAGACTCAGGCCACTCCTTTCTGGCCTGGCTCTGGGGCACCCTGCAAGCTTGGCACTGTGTTCATAATCTCATAATGTCTAAGGTCTGACCCAGAAAGATACCCTCCCCACAAGACCATAGCCCCTGGCCCCCACCCCAGGAGTCCCGTCATGGGTTCCTGCTCTCATCTCTAACCATGCAGCCTAGGAAGCCAGCACCTCCTCTCCAGCCAAGAGGACCAGCTGTGGGAGAAGGGAAGGAAGCTCTGCCGTCATATTTTTTCCCCCTGCAGTTCAGGGATTGAGGGGCCGGCCCCTGCCTGACACTGATCAGCGGGCAGTCAGCTCCATGGTCTTCTTCCGCTCCTCCCGCTGCTCCTCCCAGTCCTCCTCAGGCTCATATGTGCCTTTGAAGACGGCCACACGCTCACTCAGGCTCAGGGAGTTGGGGAAGAGTAGGTAGAAGTAGAGGATGGCAGCCAGGACAGCTCCCACGATGGGCCCCACCCAGAATACCTGGTGGAGAAAGTGCAGAGGTCAGGGGGCTGAGCCCAGGCCTCAGAGACCAAGACATCCCTACAAGAGGACAGACCCACAGACCCTGAGAGGAGATGGATGTACAGGCTTCCAGACCTCCAGAGGGAAAGACTTCCTCCCATCTTGGGGACTGATATACTGACACCCCACTCCTCAATAACAGAAACATGGACCACAGACACCCAGACTCTCAAAAGAGGCAGACAGATCCCCAGAGGGACAGGCCCCTTCCAACCCCACCCTAAAGAGAGACAAATGAACCTTCAGAGGGGACAGACATATTGATTCTCAGAAACAGATGAACAGAACTCCTCTCCCCTCTACACAGCGATAGAAACACAGACCCTGGAGTGACCATGAGCTCTCAAAGGGGGTGACAGACACACTGTCCAGATGGACAGACCCACAGAAACACTCTCCCAACCCCCTCAACAAAGACAGATAAATAAAATATCAGAGAAGACAGATACACAGACACCCAGAGGGACAGACATAAAATCCTCACAGATCAACACAGATCCCTTCTGTACCTCAAGGGAAAGTACAGATCCCCTTTCCTAGAGGGACAGACACTCACTGCCCTTGACCCCCATCCCCCTGTCTCCAGCAGTGCAGGCCATATAAATCCACCCCTGCCCTTCTGGCCGCATCCATCCTCTACTGTGTCCCCTTCTCTTTCCAGGGCCCTTACTGCCAGGGGGCCAGGGGAGGGCCTGTACTCACCCAGTGTGCGGGGCTAAACCGCTTCATGACCACTGCGGGGCCGAAAGAGCGGGCTGGGTTCATGGAACAGCCGGTGAAGTAGATCTGGATAGACAGAGGGCGGTGGTGAGGAGGGCAAGGTCCCTGTCCACTCTCACAGAACCTGGAGTCTCCCAAGGTAGCACAGCAGGCCAGGGGTTCAGCCAGGTCTCAGACTCAAGTCTCCTGATTCCTAGGCTGATGACACTGCCCTCCACAGATCCCAGCTGTGCATTTAACCATGGTCCCCTCCCCATGCTCTCCTCTCTTCTCTGTCCCTCTACCCCCCCTCCCATCTTTTCTCAGCCCAGAGAAAGTTTTGGGGGATCAAGTCTGGGGCCCGGTAGGGCTGGAGTCCAGCAGCCCTCAATCCAGGCCTTAAACTCTGTTGGGTTCCATGGTCTGGAGAGGGCACTGTTCTGGGGCTTCATTATTTGCCCGTGTCTCCTCCCAACCCCGGCTGAGTGTCAGCGCCACTCACCCCCACAAGGTGGCCCAGCGTGACAGACAGGCCAATGGACAGAGCTGGGGAGCCCACAGGGCTGGTGCGTCGGGAGTCAGTAGAGGAGAAGATGCAGAGTGCCAGCTGGAAGGTCAGAATCAGCTCCACCACCATGGCCTGGCCCTGGGTTGTGTTGTTGTTGAGCTGCAAGGGGAGGGCAGGGTGGGTTAGGACTCCTGCTGCCTTCTCGCTCTATGGCCGAGGGGTTTGGGGAGTGGGGCTTTTGGCCTCAAAGCACACCTACAGCCCTAGCACCTGGAAGCCAAGACCTGCACAAATCATCTCCATGAGGCCATTTGTCAAAGAGACTACTGAGGGGTTTGGGGAGTGGGGCTTTTGGCCTCAAAGCACACCTACAGCCCGAGCACCTGGAAGCCAAGACCTGCACAAATCATCTCCATGAGGCCATTTGTCAAAGAGACTACTTCACAGTTAGCACAAGCCTGAAGCTCAGGCCTGTGGCCAAAGGGCAGGGTGTCAGGGGAGCCTTTCCTGGAAGCAGCCCTGTCAAACGGTTCTGCCCAATCCCCACCCCCCACAAGCTGGCATTTGCCCTCCCTCCCATGGGCAGCTGCCCAGTTTGCCTACTGCACCCCCACCCCAGCCTCCTGCCCGTGCTTGACCCAATGCTGGTGCCAACCTCAAACCCGTCTCTCCAGTGAGGCTGACTCACAGCTTGACAATGGCAGAGAAAATCCTCCTCTGTGTTTGATTAATGAACCCAGTTTGCATGGGGAGGGGGGGACTGAATATGGGGCTGCAGGAGGGGAGAGGCAAAAGGGGGCAGGAGCAGGGTGTGGGGAAGGGGGGAATCAATATTCAACAGAGACCTCTATGCACTGGCACCTCACCAGGGGGTTCACATCCATGGCTTCTAAATGTAATCCCCTTGACACCTGTTGTGCTAGGTATGATCATACCCGTGGAATGGCTGAGAAAAATGAAGCCCAGAGGTCACCCAAACCCAGGATTATAACCCATTTCTCTCTGATGGGTGTATTAAAGCACTCACTAAGCAGCAGACAGGAGAGGGGGGGACCCAAGAGGAAGGCAGAATGCAAAGGTGAGACAGGAGTAAAGGCAGAAATTTCCAGCAAGAAACGAGCAGCAGTGGACATCTGGAGAGGCCAGGATGGGCCGCGTGAGGGGAGAGGGCAGAGGCAGTGGATTTGGACGAGAGAGGGGGCACACACTGGCCTGGAGATTCATCCTTCTGGCTCTAGGAGGCTCTCGCCTCCCTGGCAAGGGTGTGGGCTGGCCCACTCTGGGGCACCCATTCTCGAGATGGGGCATGGAGGCCTGGTCCTGAGCCCCCCAGCCCCGAGGGCACTCACCGCGTTGACGGCCAGGTTGCCCCGGGCATTGAGCGGCGCCAACCCATAGAGGATGCCGGCCCCGGCAATGGCACCCACCAGCTGGGCCACCACGTAGAAGACAGCCCGGAGCAGCGAGATCTGGTTGCCCACTAAGAGGGCCAGGGTGATGGCGGGGTTGATGTGGCCGCCGCTCACAGGCCCCAGGGCCTGCGCCAGGGTGCCTATGGCCAGGCCAAAGGCCAGCGAGATCTGCAGAATGGTGGGCAGCGCCGACGGCCACTTGAGGGCCGAGCCCAGGCCAAAGAAGACGAAGATGAGGGTGGCCAGGAACTCGGCGAACACGGCCTTGAGGAAGGCCACGGAGCACACCTCCTTCTTCATGGCGGCCACCGGGG